CCTCCTCCTCCTTCTCCTCCTTCTTCTCCTCCTTCTCCTCCTCCTCCTCCCTCTCCTCCTCCTCGTCCTCGTCCTCCTCCTCCTCCTCCTCTTCCTCCTCTTCCTCCTCCTCCTCCTCCTCCTCCTCATTACCCTCCTCGCCGGCTTCACGTTATGTTAGATTTCCAGCATGGCCAGCGAGGCCCCAGAGAGCGACAACTATGTGCTTCTCAGCTCTCTGTTTGGGGCCCAGGGGCGCAGACGCCGCCGCCGCTATCCCCCTTCTCCCTTCGTCGTCCTCCTCCTCCTCCTCCTCCTCGCCCTCGTCCTCCCTTTTCCCTCCTGTCGCAACTGCATTGTCGATCTGTTGTTCAGGCCGCCCGTTCACTGCGTCAGTTTGCCTATTGCAGGTCGTCTTGTGCGGTGTCCCAGTTTGCCTTGCGATCTTTTGATTCGCGATGTGGCTGTGTTACCCGCTCGGGTTGTTCTACGTTTCCTCGAGCCTGCGGCCAGCGCAGGGGAAGGGGGGTAACTCGTTACCTTTCACACGCTCGCTCTCCCCCAGGCCACGGTTCACCTCATGAGTTTGCCTGTTGCAGGTCGGCTTGTGTGTTGCACCCGGTTTGCCTGGCGTTTCTTTGAAGGTTCCACGCGTCCAGGCTACGCAGAAGTCTCCCGCTCCTCTGCCGCCGCTGCAGGGGATATACTGGGTCTTTGCGTGCCCAAGGCAAGTCCTGATTCGTGCCACAAGTTTTATTTATGAGCTAATGCTCCCAATACTTGCTTTCCCGCCTGCAAGAGGCTCGAGTAGGGCCACCACATCTTCGCACGCAAACTTGAGTGGGACCCCGGCTCTGATCGTGCTGCTTCTGCAGCGTGCTTCCCTCCCCGTCTTGAGGGCGCAGGAGGCGGTTGGGAACAGACGCGAACGCAGTGACGGCTGCGCCTTTGGCAGCCCCCAGGGAGGGTGAGGTCTAGTTTAAGTCTGCGTCGGACGTCCTCCAGCTGGGACTGCCAGTTGCGCAGTGGACACAGCCCCCCAAGGGAGGCCCAGGTACCGCTTTGCCACGCCTCCGCTGGACCTCCTAGGAGCACGCGAACGCGGTGACAGCTGCGCAGTTGCCCCTCCGCCCCTCTCCCTCCCCAGGGAAGGCGAGATCTCATTTGGGTCTGCTTCGGACGTCGCTTGTCCGGACCTCCCAGCAGCACGTGAAAGTTTGCGACGATTACGCAGTTGGCAGCCCGCAAAGGGAGGCAGGGCAAGAAGCAGGTTTGAAGTAGAAGAAACGAGGATGAAGGGAGGCGGGAGGCGGCATGCAGGAAGAGGAAGATGGGAGCAGCAATGCATGACACAAAACGTGCTTCCAAGACAGGAGGTGTGGGGAATCGGGCAGCGGGCCCGACGGACAATCGCTGCACAGCGCGGTGGTGGATGCTGCGAGGGAGGGAGGTCGCAACACATGGAAGATGGTGATGATGATGATGCTGCTGCTGATGATGATGATGATGATGATGATGCTGATGGTGATGATGATGATGATGGTGATGATGATGATGCTGCTGCTGATGATGATGATGATGATGATGATGATGATGATGATGATATGGATGATATGATGATGACGATGACGATGACGATGATGATGATGACGATGATGATGATGATGATGATGATGAGGATGAGGATGATGAGGATGAGGATTATTATTATGATGCTGATGCTGATGCTGATGTTGATGCTGGTGCTGGTGCTGGTGCTGGTGCTGATGATGATGACGACGATGATGATGATTCTGATGATTATGATGATGAGGATGATGATGATGATGAGGATGATGAGGATGATGAGGATGATGAGGATGAGGATGAGGATGAGGATGAGGATGATGATGATGATGATTATGATGATGATGATGATGATGATGATGAGGATGAGGATGATAATGATGCTGAGGATGAGGATGAGGATGAGGATGAGGATGAGGATGATGATGATGATGATGATGATGATGATGATGATGATGATGATGATGATGATGAGGATGATGATGATGATGATGATGATGATGATGATGATGATGGTGGTGGTGGTGGTGGTGGTGGTTGTGTGGTGGTGGTGGTGGTGATGATGATGATGACGATGATGATGATGATGATGATGGTGGTGGTGGTGGTGGTGGTGGTGATGGTGGTGGTGATGATGAGGATGATGATGATGAGGAGGAGGAGGAGGAGGAGGAGGAGGGGGAGGAGGAGGAGGAGGAGGAGGAGCAGAAAGAGGAGGAGGACGAGGAGGACGAGGAGGACGAGGAGGAGGAGGAGGAGGAGGAGGAGGATGCCAGGCAGCAAGGGAAGGATGCCTGGCAGCGAGAGGCCAGGCACAGCCTCACGCTGCAATGTGGGCCACACGCGCGCGCGCCGCCACGCGAGCGCGTCGAGATCTTTCCGACAGCCCCTGCTTTCGCCCACGACCATTAGAATATGGTTCAAGATGTCAGCCACGCGCAGAGGGGGGTGAGGGGAGGGGGGAGGGCTTCTTAGAAGCAGCCTCCGTGTAAGAAGCCCTCCCCCCTCCCTCCACCTCCTTGTGCGCGCCGCCAAAAATGGCTTCAACATGGTCCCAAGGGGCCCAGGACTGCCCACGAGGCCCCCAAGGGGACCCCCGAGAGGGCCTCAGGAGGCCAAACATGTTGATCTGAAGGTCTTCAGGTGTCTCGCCTTTTCGGGCCCAGAACGGCTCGCGATAGCCGAAGATCGTCCCCAGACGGCCTAAGAGACCCCCAAGAGGGCCCCAAGACGGCCCCAGAGGGCCCCAAGACGGCCCAGGACGGCCCCAAGACGGCCAAAACGGGCTCCTACAGGGTCCCAAGAGAGCCCCCAAGAGTGCCGCCACGGCCCAGGAGGGCCCCAAGACGGTCCGAAAGGGCCCCACAAGGACCCCCACGAAGGCTCGGAGATGCGAAATAACAAGATTCCCAAGAGCGAGCGGTGACGTAAATAACTCTTCACACCAAGGCTCCCAAGCGCTCACAGTGATGTGAGGCGCTCTGAACACCAAGTCTCCCAAGAGCGAGCGGTGACGTACCAAGCTGCTCCCAAGAGCGAACGAGGACGTGAATAGCTCGTAACGCCAAGACTTTCAGGAGCGAAAGGTTTTCTACGTACACAGCTCTTCACACCAAGGCTCCCAAGAGGGATCGGTGACGTGAAACATCTCTTAACGCTCAGGCCCTCAAGAGGGAACGATGCCATGAGCCTTATCAGGCGAGTTCCTCAAGCGCTCTCTCCGTTCCCGTGCCGGCCCAGCTTCTAACACGCCCCAAGCTGCACAAGGCACGTTGGCGGATATTCGCATGCTACGTGTGGGATTGCAGCTAGTGGTTCAAATTTCTGTTCAGGCGTCGTCCTCTGGCAGCAGGGTGTTCACTGTGCTTGTTCACTGGCTTCGCGTTCACCGCCCGCCCTTTCTGGTTCCCTGTCCCCGTTTTCACTCGTGCTCGCTCTGGAGGGTCTTGACCGGCTCCAGAGCCTGTGCTCGACTGGTTTGCTCCCAGTTGGCCCGGCCAGGTCCGCCGTGCTGTCCTGCTGCGGGGGCCTGGGGTAGGCGCTCCGGAGGGTCCCTTGAGCGTCCTGGAGGCGTTCTTGGTCGTCCTGGAGGCCGTTTTGAGCGTCCTGGAGGCCCTGCTGGGGCGTACTAGCCGCCCTCTCGGGCGTCCTGGAGGCGCTGTGACTTTCTGGGCGTGCAGGCGGCCCTCCTGGGCATATTGGGGGGGGGGAGGGGCCGCAGCCCCGCAAGGGACAGCGACCGCGGCGGCGGCGGCCCGCCGGAGTACGAGGACGAGGGCGGCGCTGCCAAGGCGCGCCCGCGTGCCGTCCCCCCGCGGCCGTGCCCGGGGGGGGCGCGGCCGGGTGGCCCTCCGTGGCGCGGCGGCGCTCGCGCAGGACCAGAGTCAGCGTGACCAGAAGCCTCCGACTGTTCGCGGGCGATTTCCCCGCCGCCGCCAGGCCCCTTGCAGCACCGCCTCGGCGGCGGAGGCGAGATCGTCCGCGGACGTTCGACCGGTCAGGTTTGCATGGGTTCCTGGTTCTTTAACTTCCCCCCTCCGTGCGCTCTTCCTGCCTTGATGCGGTCGTGGGGAACACCCCATTTTTATTCTTATGTGCGCCTAGCAGACGTCTGGTCCCCACGCAAAAGGATACCCTGGTCGTGGCAATGGCATTTCCTATTTGTGTCCTTCCAAAGGGAGCCTCACCCATGACCACGAGAGATCTTGCAGAGGACCCCGCATACTCAGACAGCTGGGCATTTTCTCAAGCTCCCCGAGGGGGTTTCTTCGTGTGCAGTCGGTGCTTCTTCAACAGTGAGCTCTCGAGAAACTGTGTCGAAGTGCGTGCTTTCCAGTCCATGTGTGTGTGTGTGTGTTCTATCCCATTGCTAGCCAGATGTCCTTCTGCTTGGGCGGCCTCCTCTCTATTTGGCGCTCGCTAGAGAGGTGAGCATCTGATCATGAATGACCTGGTAGGAACCCAAACTCGTTGATAATTCTCCCACCATTTTGTAGGGCGCAGCCGCACGATGTCTGACGAAGGGATGCTTCTTCACGATCATGATATCCAGCTGTCTGCGGCAAACCCCGCCACTGTGCCTGCGCAACAGCGCAGCATGAAGGAGGCTGAGTGCAGACGGAGTTGCGACCAGTGGCCTGAATTGCGACAGGTCGTGAACTCGACCTCGTTTTCGTTCGCGCGGTAGGAGAGAGGTCGAGGTAACGCCCCGCGGGAGTTCAGCGAGCGGTCTGACCTGGGGGTGGTCGTGATCTGTACCTCGTCTTCCTCCGCTCAGTAGGGAGGAGGAGGAGTAGGAGGAGGCTGAGGAGGAGGAGGAGGAGGAGGAGGAGGACGAGGAGGAGGAGGAGGAGGAGGATGAGACAGTGGAGACAAGGAGGAGAAGGGCTTTTGGAACCCTCTAGGGACGTCATGGGAGCCGCCTGAGGGCTTCTTTGAGGCCTCCTGGGGACCTACTAGGAGCCTCTTTGGAGCCTCTCGGGCCTCTTGGGCCGTTTTGGGGGGCTCATGGCCCGTTTGACGCCTTCGGAGGTTGTCTTGGGTGGCCTCTCTGGGTCGTCTTGGTGTCCTCCTGGAGCGCTTTAGGGCCGTCTTGGGGCCTTCTTCGTGGTCTCTTGGGCGATCTTGGGATCTTCTTTGGTCGGCTGGGGGCCCTCTTTGAGGCCTCATGGGCTGTCTTGAAGCTAGCTTGGAGGCTTCTTGGGCCGTCTTGGGCGGTCGGAAAGCCAACCAAGTGAGAACCTCAACATGTTTCAAACGCCTGAGAGGAAACCATGTTTTTCGTCTCCTCGTGCTCGTCTGAAGTGTGTCTTGGAGCCGTCTTGGGCCGTCTAGGAAGCCTCTCGAGCCGTCTTGAGTTTGGGAGCCGCCTCTTGTGCCGTCTTGGGCCATTTGGGCCGTCTTGGTGTCATCTTGGCTGTCTCAGAAGCAGTCTTGTGAGCCTCTTGAGACTGAAGGTTGACAAGAGCGCCGAGGAGCAACTTATGGAGGGCGGTTTCAGAACGATGCACGCGGCTGGCGGGCGGGGGTATGGCCCTAAGGTATGGCCCTAGAAATCAGTAAGGAACCTCCCAGACAGCAGACGAGCATGACAGAAGGAGCGAGGTATGAGTGATGATGTTTTGGTGGGGTGAAGCCTTCTAGGGAGGGGCTCCATGGGAGGGGGAAACGCGGCCAGGCGGGCGAAACACGCCTGCCCCCTCCCAAGAGGCCTCCAAGACGCCTCCAAGAGAGGTCCAAGAGGGCTCAGAACCAGCCAAGAGCGTTCCAAGACAGCCTAAGGTGGCCTCGAGCCAGTCCAGGAGGGCCCCAAGACGGCCCAACACGCCTTCAAGTGGACCCCCGAGAGGGGCTCAAGAGGCCACGCATATTGGTTATCCATCAACTTTTGGTGATTTTTAGGTTTCTCGCCTTTTCGGGCTTCCGACGGCCTGAGACGGCGCAAGAGGCGCCAAACATCGCCCCGAGACGGCACCCCCAAGACGGTCCAAAAGGCATCCAAGACGGCCCAAAAGACTCCCAAGAGGCCCCCAAAGGCCCCCAAGAGGCTTCTAAGAGCCTCTCGAGAGGCACCCTTGGAGCGAACAGTGGCTTCAAAAATATGGCAAGCCGGCCGAAGCCCCCTCAGACGGTCCAAGAGGGCCCCGGTGCGGCCCAAGAGGGCCCCCAAACAGCCCAACAGACCCCCAAGATGCCCCCAAGAGGCCTTCGAGATGCCTCTAAGAGCCTCCCAGGGGGCCGCCCGTGAGCGAACGGTAAAGTAAAAGCCATTGAACGTCAATGCTCCCAAGAGCGAACGGTGGCATAGAAAGCTCTGACCACCAAGCGACGTAAAAGGCTTTGAACGCCACGGCTCCCAAGAACCATTTCGTGCGATATTGGAGCCGCCCCGCATAACCAACTGCAGGCGTTCGGGACGGATAGCAGTGGGAGCGGGGCAAGATGCTCGGGAACGATGGCGGGGGGAGCGGGGCATCCTACACTTCACACGCTGGCCCCTTCAGTGAGCGAAGGTGGGCGGGCTACGAACGCGCACGGAGGGAACGAGCAGAACCTCCTGCTTTTCTTCGCCTGTTCTGATGGGCCTGTTTTCTGCCACCACCACCACCATAAGTTGGAGGGGGAGGGGGTTCGTCCTCCTCCTCCTCCTCCTTCCCCCCTCCAACTTATGGTGTTGGTGGTGGTGGAAAACAGGCCCATCATGTCCCCCTCTCATCCCTCCCCCGCTCTTCTTGCCCAGAAGGGGCTCAAGAGGGCCCCCAAAGTCGAGGCCTGTAGAGGCAATCTGACCTTCAGTCAGAAGGCAAACTCCCGCGAGCATTCACCGAGGTGACGACAGGCGGGGGGGTCCTGCGCCGCGCGATTCCCGGGCGGGCAGTGCCAACATGCATTCGCACAAAAGCTCCTCCGGCATAGGCCCTCCGCGCAAATCAGGCCCACGGCAGGAGGGGAGAAAACACACGCAGACACAATTAATCGTCGATTCCCAGGAAAATGTGGGAAAATATTGGAAGTGGGGGGGATGACAGAAACCCAGAAAATATGGGAGAAGATAGGGAATCCGGTTATTTTGTGTGTATTCATTTGTGTGTGTCCCAGAGCCCCTTCAAAGGCCCCCATGAGGGTCCCAAAAGTGCCGTCGGAGACCCCCAAGAGGGCCACAGAAAGCCCCAAGGGCGCCCCAAGACGGGCCAAGCCCCCCGAGACGGCCCAAGGGGTCCCCCAGAACGGCCCGAGAGGGCCCCACGACGCCCAGAAGAGCCCCCAGAGGAACCCCACTGACGGTCCAATGACGGACGCAGGTTTGACGCCAAGGCTCCCAAGAGCACCAGCTGACCAGAACGCCCTGTTCACGCCAGTCGATGACGTAAACATGTTTGAACGCCACGGGTCCCCAGAGCGAGCAGTGGGGCAGAAAATTCTGAACACCAAGGCTCCTGAGAGCGAACGGTGACGTAAACAGCTCTTAACGCTAAGGCGCCCAAGGGCGAACGGTGATGCAAACAACGCTGAATTCCAAGGCTCCAAAGAGTGAACGGTGACGTAAACAACTCTTCACACCAAGGCTCCCAAGAGGGAAAGCTCGCAACGCCAAGACTCCCAAGAGCGAGCGATGATGTGGAAGGGCTCCTCATCCCAAGGCTCCCAAGAGCGATCGGTGACGTGAAAAGGCTCTTCACGCCAAGATTCCCAGGAGCGAGCAGTGCTATGAGCCCTCTCTGGCAAGTTCCTAAAGCGCTCTTTCCATTCCCGTGCCAGCCCAGGTTATAACCCGCCCATTCCGTGCAAGCATGGTGGCGGCGGATGATTGCGTTTCTTCTTTGAGTTTCAGTCGACACCATTCGCCTGCAGAAAAGGTGGTGGGGCGAATCATCATGGTGTCATCTTCAGGCTCCTGGTAAGACCTTTCAGCAACTACCTCATATTCGATCCCTGGCAAGATGTCCGAAAGTTTTGTCGCCCACTCCAGCTGGCCCACTTCTGGCAGAGCCGGTCCGGCTCCGCGCCGACTCGCTGGCCAGACCTGGCGCGCGGCCCGAGCAGGATGCGCGGCGCCCCGAGGCGCGCGCGCCCATCCTGGCGCGCGCGCGCGCGAGGCGTCGTGCGCTGGCGCCTCCGACGTCTAGGTCGGCGTGCCCCCTGCGCGCGCTATCGCGACTTCGGGCAGATGGCCGATGGGCCAGGGCAGCCGCGGGGCGGGGGTGCATTCGACTGGCCCGAAGGGGCGGCGCCCGCAGGTCGAGGGCGACTTGCTCTCGCTGCCCTGCCTGCGCGGTGCGCCTCGCTCCGGCGGCGGAGGGCGGAGAGTGCCTCATCGACTCCTCTGTGCCCTCCTGGAGGTGCCCGAAGCTGCGGGGCCAGCCCAGCGCGGTTCAGCTGCGGGGGCTTGCGGGGGCGATGGCAGCGCCGATCCGCGCAGTGCGAGCGGGGCGGCGCGCCCGACAGGCGCGCCGAGAACCGGGGCTCGTGCTTCGCAGGCCCAGGTTTGCACCTCCATGCCCGGTTGCTGGCTCGCAAGTGCTCCTGCGCCCGCGAGCGCGCGCAGCTCCAGGGCGCGATTCGCGGCGCCGGCCTCGAGCGCGCCAGGGAGGTGTGGGTCTTGGCGCCCCGCCTCGGCCGTGCCTGGGCACTGGTGCTGCGAGGCTTCTTGGGGCGCTGGTCGATGCCGCAGATGCAGTGGGCTTGGCGGGGATCTGGGGGGATGGCTGACCCCGCCCCGCTCTGCGTCGCGCGTCGACATCCGGCGCTTGGAGGATGCAGAGTGGGATCGTTCTAAATGCGGCCGATTGGC